GCATCTTATTTCTTTAAAGAGCTGCTTCACATATAAGTGTCTAAAATAGCCCAGCCCTTCAGAGTGTAATTTGAATAAATATTATCTATTTTCTGTGAGTTATCCTAAAAGTTTTAAACAGAATGACCTCATAGTTTTAAAAAAGATTATTATTTACCTAAAATGTGCTAGCAGCATTTTGGCCAGCCATAAAGCAATATACTTCTCAATAATCTTAATTTTGACATTTGAATAAGTAATGGGAACTTTCTATTTCAAGGGCAAGTGTCCCATCAATCAGAATTCGTACCTTAAAAAAAAGGCAGGTCTTCAAAGGAATTGATAGGGACAAAAAATGTTTGATATAAGCAGTACTTTTATAAAATAAGATATGCTGGAAATCATTCCCTGTAATTTTTTAAAATAAAAGGTCAACTATGTTTAAAAAAAATTCCCTGGAATTAGTGTGTTCTGCTTCCTCATATTTCAAATTGCTGATTTGATTCTCAGAATCCTCAACTTAACTGTTGAATCCCTGTAAATTATTCTTTATTTCAGTTAGTGTATGCTTAATTTCTGACTGTTTCTTTTCCATGTCTTTGGCATTCTCACTAAGATCCTTGAAAGTCTCACTAAGTACCCTGAAGTTCTCATGAAGATCCTTGAGTAACCTTATAACCATGGCTTTGAACTCTGTGTCCAGTGGTTTGCTTTCTTTTATTTCTTTCATTTGTGACATGTTTCTTTGTCTTTGCATTTTGGCTGCCTCCCTGTGTTTGTATAATGCTACCTTCTAATTATTGGGTAGAGCTGCTATCTCTTGGAGTTGGTAGTGTGGCCTTGTGTAGTAGGTGTCCTATAGGGCCCAGTGGCTCAGCCTCCCCAGTGTCCTGATTTGGGCACTCTAGGTGTGCCCCTTTGTGGGCTGTGTGCACAGTCTTATTGTAGTTGAGACTTGATTGCTGTTGGTGTCACTGGGAGGAATTACCTACAGTGAAGAGCTGTTGTGCAGAAAACACCCCTATGGGGCAAGACTTGCTTCAGTAGGGCTATGGTGCTTACTGGGTCTGCCCCTTGAGTTTGTCACTTGTGGATGTGTAGAGTTGTAATCTGGTATGGCCTGAGGCTGTCTACCAGGTGCACTGGCTCTTGGGTCTCCAGGGAGGTGCAAAGTCCATCACTGCCTGAGGCCACCCAGCAGTAGCTACAGAGAGATCTGCAGATTCCTCCTATTTGTATTGGGTTTGCAAGTGCCCAGGTCCCAGGTCTTGGATCTTTTATTGATAGGTTTGGGGCATGCTGTCACCAGCTGCAGCTTATTGAGAGATTTTAGCAAGTCTGAAGCCTAAGCCAGGACAGGCCATTCATATGGAAAAGCTACTGCAAACAGCTTTGGTGGGGTTGCAAATTGGAAGGGGTGGGGTCTCAGGGAATCACCAGGGCAGGGCAAACAGTGTGCTCCAGGTTGATGGGGACTCAGATATGGTTGCCAGTCAGCCCTGGGACAGGGGAGGTCTCAACACAGGAACAATGGCCCTTGTGAGCACCTCCGTCTGGTAGAAAGCCACACCCGAGTTCCTGCTCTGATGCCAGACAATCCAGTTCCTCCTTGTATGTGTCTGTGTCCCCCACTGCCTTCTGGCACTGGAGCTCATAGGAACTGAGTCTGAGTAAATTTATGCCCAGTCTTTTAAGAGGGTCACTTGGGTCTCTGGCAGCCTCCATGTCCCTCAGCCACAATCCCCACTAGTTTTTACAGCCTGAAGTTATGGGGACTTCTCTTCCCAGCTCTGGGACCCTGGGTGGGGGTCTGGTGTGGGGCTGGGACCCCTTACTCCTCATGGTGGCCTCCATAGGGACAATCTCCCTCTGGGTTAAGAAAATGGCCCATGTGTGTGCTGGACCAACCCATTCCATGCCTCCGCTCCTCTGGCCAGTCTTAATGTGCTTTCTTCTCTACTTCTCTAGTTGTAGGACTTCCATTCAGCCATTGTTAGGTGGTTCTGAATGATGGTTGTTCTGTATTTTAGTTGTAATTTTGATGTGGTTGTGAGAGGCAGTGAGTACCAGTGTTTACTTATGCCACCATCTTGGTTCTCCTCTTTACCCTATTTTATGTTGTTGCCTCCTTTGTCAAATATTAATTGATCATATAGGTGTGGGTTCATTTCTGGGCTTTCTGTTCTGTTCCATTGATCTATATATCTTTTCTTTATACCAGTGCCATGCTGTTTTGATCATTATAGTATAAAGGGTGTTCCAAAATTCACGCAAGAAGTAATTTTGATAGAAAACACAGGTTTATAATGAAAAATTGTACATTTTTTATTTATTCATAAAGTATACAGTATAGGGTTATGTATGGAATAGCATATAATGCTTTCCAGTTCCATCCATGCTGTTGCAAATGGTAAGAGTTCCTTCTTTTTTACAGCAGCATAGTATTCCATCGTGTAGATGTACCACAGTTTTCTAATCCATTCATCTACTGATGGGCACTTAGGCTGTTTCCAGATCTTAGCTATGGTGAATTGTGCTGCTATGAACATATGGGTGCATATATCCTTTCTGATTGGTGTTTTTGGTTTCTTGGGATATATTCCTAGAAGTGGGATCACAGGGTCAAATGGGAGTTCCATTTCCAGTTTTTTGAGGAAACTCCATACTGTCTTCCATAGTGGCTGCACCAGTCTGCATTCCCACCAGCAGTGCACAAGTGTTCCTTTTTCTCCACATCCTCTCCAGCACTTGTCGTTTGTTGATTTGTTGATGATAGCCATTCTGACAGGTGTGAGATGGTACCTCATTGTTGTTTTGATTTGCATCTCTCAGATGATTAGCGACTTTGAGCATGTTTTCATATGTCTCTTGGCTTTCTGAATGTCCTCTTTTGAAAATTACTTCTTGCGTGAATTTTGGGACACCCTTTAGTTTGATATCAGGCAGCATGATACCTCTTTGTTCTTTTTTCTTAAGATTGCTGTAGCTATTCAGGATCTTTTGTGGTCTCATATACATTTTTGATTTTTTTTGTTCTAGTTCTTTGAAAAATGCCTTTAGTATTTTTGATAGGAATTGCATTGAATTTATAGGTTGCTTTCAGTAGTATGGGCATTTTAATGATGTTAATTTTTCCTATTCATGAGCATGGTATACTGGTAAAGCTTCCATTTATTTGTATCTTCTTCAATATCTTATAATTTTATGATATAATTAAGGTCTTTTACCTTTTTAAAAAAAATCTTTATTGTTGAAAGTGGTCTTTTACCTTCTTGATTAGATTTATCCCTAGATATATATTTTTTTATGTTTGCTTTAAAAGCTCATTGGTTGCCACTGCCAAGTCCTGATGCTTGTGAGGGGCCCCTGGGTCTCGGCCCCTTTGGAGCAGGTTGGGCCCAGGCTCCTGGGTGAGGGGGCAGCTTCTGCATGGAAGGTTCTGCCTCCTGTCACCTGAGGCCTCAGGCACTGTGGTGATGCCCAGGGCTGGCTCCTCCTTCTCTATCTGCGCACACTCAGGCTCCCAGCGCCAGCTTTGGCTGGAAAGCTGACAAGGGTGGGCCAGCCCAGGGGCATTGGGTGGCCATGACTTCCCCTCCTGCCTAGGAGACAGGTTCTCAGGATGGGCTGGAGTTGTGGCTTCCAAATCCTGGGAGCTGACCAACCCACCTTCCATTGTTGCCTTTCTGCTTATGGATGCCCGCTCTGGGCCCTCAAGAAGGAATTTCCAGGACCATGGGCCTGGCCCTCCAGGGGTGGAGGAGGCAGGGGGGCCACTGGTGGGGATGAGTCCTGGGGAACTGGGACAAAGTGCTGTTAGTGCCTGGGTGTGGAGGAGCTGGGCCTTCAAGCAGCCTTCAGGGGGGATGGGGTCTGTGGGTCCAGCCCCACCACCCAGGCGAGTTGGTGACAAGGAGCTGGCAGCCTCCTCAAAGACTTGCAGGATCCCAAACTTCCTCTGGGGGTCACCGGGGCCTTCCTCCAGGGGGTCCCTGGGCAAGAAGGCGTCTTCTTCCTCCCCCTCTCCTGCTCCTCTGAGGGGCGGATCCTGGCCCACTTCTGGGTTAGGTACCAAGCTTGGCTCCTGCACACCTTGGCTGTTCTCAGGCCCCTCATCAGCATCATCCTCTGAAGAGTCAACCTCACGGATGGCTTCCTGCTTCTGCAGTGACTCTCGCCGCTCGGCCCGGTCCTGTCGGAGGGTGCCTAGAGCTCGCGAGGGAGCAGGCTGCAGCACTCCTTTCCCTGGCAGCACCCCCTTCCCAGACAGCACACTCCTGGTCCCAGCTACCTCCAGAGGACTGACTTCCCTGGGTGGCAGTTCCTTCTTGAGCTCAGGGTGGGGCAGGTCAAGGCTATGCTTTCGAGAAGTGGCTAGCTTCTTCTCAGAAGCAGCAAGTGCAGCCGCCAGTTTCTCAGCTGACTGCACCCTCTTAAGTAGTGGTGAGCGGGGAGGCTCCGCACTCTTGGGCCGGGAGAGTTGCCTGCCTAGGGGAGGCGACACGTGAAGCTTGGTGGGGAGGGCCTGGGTTCCATGGCCAGACAGGGGTGATGGGGAGCGCTGGGGTGAAGCTGCTGGTGGTGGAGAAGGGGTGTGGGCCAGTGGTGACAGTGGGATGCTGCCTGCTGACTTGCGCCGTGGAGAGCGGTACTGCCGTTGGAGCTTGGGTGCCAGACCGTGCAGGGAGCTGGGCCGTGTATGCCCAGAGCCGGCTGGAGAGCTGGGCACACTGGAGCTGGGGGAGCTGCTCTGTGACGAATTCCCTCCCACTGAATGCACAGCATCAGGAGTCACCCGGTAGCCCTGAGTGGGAGATCGGGGGGAAAGGCTGTGGCCGTGTGTGGGAGAGCCCGGCCCGCTCTCTCCTGATGACAAGGAGCGGTTAAGGGAAGAGAGGCTGCGGCTGGTGTGGAGCAGGGACGCCTGCTTAGTGATCTTTCGGAACAGGGAGCTCCTTTTTCTGCTTTCTTGCCCATCTTTGCCCCGGCTCCGCTTGCTTCTTCGGGCCATCTTGGCCTTGTAGCTGCCCCTCCGTGCCGGCCCCACTTTAATGGATGTGTTCTCCAGGGGAGTTGTTGAAATAGACAACTTGTTTCCACTCTTCAGGATCAGCTCCACCACCTCAGTGTGCACCAGCCCATGCACAGGCTCCCCGTTGACATGAGTGATGAGGTCGCCCTGACGAAGCCCCGCCTCACTGGCTGGACCTCCATCCTCCATGTGCCACACCATGTGGTGCACAGTGTAGACGTCCAAGTCACCCATGTAGACACGGATCGCCCGCAGGGTGAAGCCATACTTCTTGCCAGCTTGGTGAATGATGATGGGGGTCCTCGAGTTGCTGAGGGCTGGCAAGAAGTCCCTGCTTGGAGAAGAGTCCCTGGATGATGGGTTGGATGACTGGGAATGTGGGGACATGGGGCTGGCCAAGGGAGAGCAGGTGTGGTGTTCTGTAGGAATGAGGAGGGACAGGGCTGTGGCTGAGGCGGACTTGATCACTTTGCTGATGGGGCGAGTGGTGCGCTTTTCTATAGAGTCCCCTGAGAGCAGCCGGTGGCGGGCCCTGCGCACTGCCAGGTCACTGATGGCCTTGACTGTGGCTCCCTCAGCCAGCTGTGGGGTCCCATGGCCTCGAGTCTCCATGGCTGGACTAGAACCACTGCTCTGGCTAGCAGGCTCCTCATCCAGCTTCAGCTGCTGCTCCACTGGCCGTTCAGGGATAGGCTCAGACATCCCTTCTGCAGATGTGGGTGTCAGAAGCCATATGCCCTCCTGCTGCTGCCTCCTGGGGGTGCTGGTAGCCTCCTCAGGGCCCTCCGGGAAGCGAGGCACGTCCAGGAGGCCTGAGCAGTGACGCCGCACGGTCAGTGGAGGGCTTGAGTCACTTTCCGTGTGGGAGGACTCAGACACCGACAGCCGCTTCCGCAATATCTCAGGGGAGCCAATCACCCAGCTCCGGTCTCGACCCTTCAGCCCCACCAGGCCATCTGAGCGGTCTTCCTTCTCCTCACTCAGGCTGCGCTTGGTGGGGGGTGGTGTCTGGCGCTCCTCGAGCAGCGACAGCTGCTCTATGCTACTGTACACCTTGCTGAATCTGGGAGAGCAGGAAGAGAACTGGCGGATCTCAAGACAGCCATCTTCACTCACTTCCTCCTCATCTTCTGAGTCCACGTGGTGATACCGATCTGAGCGGGTGTCAAAGTAGCTGGTATCATCTTCCGATTCCAGTTGAGGAATGAATTCAGCCTTCTGGAGAAGAAGTCCTGTCCAGTCCAGACCAGTAAAGAATGGGTGCTGCTTCACCTCACAAGCACTGCCTGTGGACAGGGAGGGCGTGGGCCAGGGGGCGGGTGAGCAGGTGGAGCCCAGGTCAGCAAGTCCAGGGAGAACCCAGACCTCAAGAAGCTAGGCCTGGAGCCTCAGCTCCAGCACCTTCCCAGATGATCTGCCCAGAGGAGCAGGGCGAGTTTCAGGACCCACAGGCACTACCCACACTTGAAGCCTGACCCTCCCGGTGGCATGGACTCAGCCTCCCTCTTCCCTCTTCCATGTGATGAAAAAGTTTAGTGGGGCCTGTCCTACAGGGGTTCTCGGCAAAAGTCAGTATGTCACGCTCCACGAAGGCCTGCTGGATCTGGTTGTGTAGGATCAGGTTCTGCTTATTGATCTCCTCCATGGCAAAGCGCTGCCGGGTGGACTTGTGCCACACCAGGAATACGGCCCCATAGGCGCCATTGCTGATGAGCTTAATGGTTTCGAAGTCCTCTTCACAGGGTGCCTTTTTAGATGTCAAAGATGCCCCACGGCCCTCAACTGAATCATCGGTCTCCGGAGTATCAGGACTGTCATAGCTGCTCAACTGGGCCATTTCCTCCGGGGGATCCCGCGTGAGGCCCAGCTGGCTAACAATGTAGCGGGGAACGTCACATTTAATCCCTTGTCCCTCTTTGGCATGGCCCTCAGCTGCTTCCAACAGGTGGTAGAACTCTTCAGGGTCAAACTCCAGGCATTCCAGGAGGCGAGTTGGGCAGGCAATGACAATCATTAGCTTTTTCACCAGCTGCATTACAAAAGCCACTTCTGAACTCTCTGAGCGCTCATGAGCATCTTGCAGAAGTTTCTCTAAATTCTCTTGAAGTTTGTAGAAGTACTGTGATGTAATGAGGCCACTCCGAGATTTATCCAGGCAGTCTCGGGCCATCTCAATCACTTGATGATGAATAAAGCTTAAGGCTCCATCTGCCAAGGGCAACACACTGTCTGGAGTGTTGGAGGAAATGAACTCTGCTAGGCGCTCTTCCATCTGTGCAGTGGCCTTGGGGAATCTTTCTTTGTATACATGATTCATCATTATTATTTCACTGTCAAAGGAAACGGGACCGTCCAGGACTGAGGCTGCGAGAACGGGGCCGCATGGCTGGGGACTGCCTTCCCTCCTCATCTGGTACACTCTCCGTGCTGAAATGCTTTGTCAAAAAGTGCAGCTCATCGGCTGTAGGCTGGAAAGGCAACTGGTGCAGCTTTTCCTGCGAGGAGCATGATGATGAGACAGTAGAACTAGGAGTGTTGGTTCCATAGCCTGAAGAAGGTAAAGAGGCCAAAGACCAGCGCCGTCCATCAGTCCTACGGGCAGGAACAAAGAAAAAGTGAGCAGGTGCATTTGGAGAGAAATTCTGGGGACTGTCCAAAGGACTGTTACCTGTGTGTCCATGGAGTGGTGAGTGCGGCCGTGGTAGTGTAGGTGATGTGCTAGAGGTCACAATCAAACTCTTTCGGTTACTTGTCCGACAACTCCACTGCAGTGGGCGGCTGAACAGGGACTGCCAGGGTTGCTATGGGCTTGTGGGTTCAGGAAAAAAGCAAGAGGAGAAGCAGCCAGAGCACAATCGGCACTATATGGAACTTTAATGAGCGATAGGGCTGGAGCCCATGTGGGTGAAAACATGTGCTGGTTTACTTCAGATCCTCGGCAAAAAGTAGAGATT